AACTGCTGGACGTATTTGTTTGCGAAGCGCTCCTCAGACCACTGTCCTCTCTAAGACTTCACTGCAGCTGCCCCCCCCAAGACACTTCTGTCCCACTCCAGGACGACGCTCCTTGTTCGCACGTTTCCCGGGTCGCTGCGCTTTCAGGAGCAGGTGCCTGTCTGCTGATTAGTCCTTTAAACGGTACTTAAGCAGCACCAACACAAACACGGCTTTCATGGGACGGTTAGACCCGAAGGGAGAGGAGGAGATGATTGGGGGGGATGATCGCCTTCCCTTGCCCACTTTCAACATCTGCAGCATTTTCTCCCCCCACCCCGGCAAACACTCTACGAGGGTATAAATGAAAAGCTTGTACAATATTAGCGACTGCGGTGATGGATAATAGAGTCTCATTGGCGAGGCGGCCGGGGGACAGCCGTACCGGGGAGTCAACCCGCCAGCCTCGCGGACGTTCCGTAGCCATGGCAGCGCTTCCGGTCCGCTGCGGCCACAAGCCGCTGGAATCCGACAGACCACGGTGCACCACCCGTACCGTGCATGACAGAGCGGAAACACTGGTATTTTACGAGTTCCCATTCTGGCAGACATATCCGTCCAAATCACCCTGTTTACGAATACAAATGTCATTGAGGCACATGTCAATTTGTATGGGATAATGTCAAATGTGATTTCGAACAAATATAAAAAATACCATTTGAAAACATTGTGGCAAACTTCATTCTTAGAGTTAATATTTTTTTCATTCACGATTCCATCCTTTTTCCATAAGCCGTCCAACACAGAATCACTGCGAGCCTGGAGTATAAGTCAGGAAGCAGGGTAGGGATCACTCTGGAGAGGATGCCAGTCCATCACAAGGCAGGCGCTGATGCAAACAATAGCACATAATGGCTGGTTTAGAGATTCCAGTCCACATAAACTGCATGTTTTTGGACTACTGGGGGAAACCTGAGAACCCATAGAGTCCATGCACAAGCCAAGGCAGACCGTGCAACCACCAAACACCCTACAGAGAGCCAGTGATGGGATTCGAACCAACGCCACCTGTGAGGCTACTGGTAAAGTATTTTGCACCGATCCCCTGAATCACTGATAATTATATTCGTCAATTATGTATTTTTAATGTCTTGCACTATATTTGGAGTGAGGCAGTTACGCCAATTATTATGTGTCACAATAGAAAACTAACCAGAAACGCCCCCCTCCCCTCAGAGAAACCAGATTTCCCACAACCAGTTTTTGAACCATTACAGAGCCTAAATATAGGTTATGCTTTTCAAAACTACAGTTTGCAAAGCACTTGACAGGCTGGGCTGAATTAATTGAGGGTCTTACAAACCCAACTATTGCAAACATCTATAAGACCTCCGCAAGGGTATAGGACAGTCATACAGCTGAGTATTTATAAATGTCACCACATACAGTACATCAGTTAACGAGACCAAAGCGCTCAACATCTTAGTATGGGATTCAGCATAACTGAGCCCAGCCACTAAGTAAATAACGGGAATCCCTTTAACGGATCATTAGCACGGAAATATTGCAAGACTAAAGTACAACTATACAGATAAATATGCAGGCAATAAAGACCGTTTTCAGCAAATAGATTAAGTAAAACCTATGTAGGTTCACCAATTTAATCCAACAGCAGATTAGTACCATTTAACATGCTTCTGACAAATGAGCTGTTGCTTGTTTGACAGTTTAGACAGACATATCTACTTCATTTCCTGGGCATTTCAGAAAGATGACTTTAGACTTAATCAGAGGAATTAAGATCAACTTTGTGTGATATTTTTCCGGAGTGCCCGTCAACATTTGCTTGAGTGAGAGTTTTAACCAATTAAGTTTTTGCAGAACTTCCTTTCGTAAATTCTACTCTTTTACCGGCCGAACAAAATGTATCTTTCTAGAGGATCATTAAACCCAGGTCCTATTTAATTGTACGTTTCAGCCTTTAACTTTTTTGACGACTTCATCAGCTCCACATAATCGCGACTTCAAAAACAAGTCGAAATTGGTTGCGCAACGAGTGCAACGATGTTACTCAAGATACCTCGATAAGTTTTGTTACACAGATACAAAATATCAACTGCAGTGGTTATTTAATTAAATAATACAACTTGACCACAAGGAACCCGATCAAACGATACATGCGAGTAGCTGCGCCTCTTACCTTGTTGGAGTAGGGCGGTTGGCTGAGGTTAATCCCATCCTTAATCAGTCTATCCCTAATCAATATCTTGAGTTTCAACTTAGGATAGGTGACTGGTTCTTTACAGTTGACCTGGGTCAAGTTTCTATCCGCAGACATATATCCTTGATTCTTCCCGATTCGGTCCATGTTAGATTCGGTCCACGACTTTGAACCTTTGAGATTGGTCTCATAGTGCTTTTCAGTGCGCGTGGTGTAGATGTCCTCCGTGGTGGCCAGGGGCTCGAGAGTGAAGTAAAGCCCGGCGGCCGCATCTTTGTCTTCCTCCTTAAGTCTCTCCACCGCTTCTCGGATCCTTTGCCTGTGAGTGGGGACGAAGACCCCGATGGCATCCAGGTCGGGGTCGCCGATCTGCTTACACACTTCGAGATCGTCATAACCGTTGTCGAAAAAGGACTCGGCGTACTGGCCGAGCTGGAGGGTCTTCAGCCACTCGTTAACCACGTTGGGAGCGCTGCTCATGGTTTTCGGAACTGAGAGGTGGGAATGCTTCATCGCAGAGTACTACACCTCCCGATTCATTGATCTGGATCATAAATCAATACCAGGTCTGCTGCGCAGGCATCTTACAGCAGGTACTCCAGCGAATACGACAAAATAAACGAGGCAAAAATCCGTATCTGCGCCCTGCCGCTTATTTTTCCTGATATTTCAAACATTACATATGTTGTCTCAAATTTGCAATAAGTTTGTGGTAACCTAACCGTCTTTTTCTCCACGGTTACTTCCTTGAAGGTGATCAATCGCTGAACCAGGTGAAATTTATTGCTACCACAGGTCCCTTTAATCAGTTAAAAGTATGTTTAATTCTACCGGCGCATAGTCTGATACAAAATATCCCGGCGGTGAACTGGGAGCGTTGTCAAGCCGATGTTAATTTTCTTGCAGGGACAGCCCTGTCGCCTCGTATCCCTCTGTCTTTTGAGTCCTTTCTTTCCAGTTTGAATGCACTCATAGTCATTGCTATTCAGTGAATTGTTCCGCACGCCTTCGCGTCTCTTTCAGCGACGCAGCCGAGACCAGTCAGCGCTACGGGAACCTGAACCCAGTGTTGTGGGGGGGGGGGCGAGTCTGAGGCTGCCAACTCTATTGCTTATTGGCATCTCCTCTGTCAGATATAATTCGATATCTTAATAGTGAAGCGGGACTTTAAAAAGAAAACGGGGACTTGCTTTTTCTAAGATCAAAATTTCTAAATTTTACTGTGTAATATTAAGATTGAGAGATGAGTACATTACAAAATTATATATAATGCAAGTTGGATACGTGCAAAATATGGATAATTTACTTATTTTAACGAGTTGAAGTTCAAACATTTTCCAGTACTGTACATTGTTTAAACACGAGCTCCCTCATCTGGCAATAGACAGTAATAGACGGTCAACCAAAATTCAAGATTTAAATTACGGATTCATTTACATGCATTTTTTTTTCAATTAAATGGAATTAAGTAGCTTAGTCTGGAACAAAAATACTCTCATGGTAAATAATAATGGTATAACAAAGAAGTTAATCAATGTGTACTTCAGGCATTTGTCTTCACGAAGGTCTACTTCCACACGTAGGTGATCGCTCTTTCTTGCACCCTCTGCTGGTGCCTTAAATTGTTGTAGGTTCCACACAGTCCTCTGCATAGTACTTGATTGGACTAGCATGCTATTTGGAGTTTACTCCTATGGCAAGCCGTTTCAGCCTTAATTCATTTCTAGAGTATAGCACAAATTTTGTTATAACTAGCTAAAATGCAAATTTTTGATATCAGAAATTCAGTTGTCACTAGTTATAATGCCAGTTCTTGATATCGCAAATTAGTTACTACTAGTCACAAGTGAATTCCTGTTATCAGAAAGGGGCATTTTGACTCGTTCAAATTCCAACCCCCATTGAGATAAATGAGAAAAACGTTTTGAATCTCACTAGCTAAAATAGAACTTCCTGGGTGTGCAGATAACTGGAAACCAGGACTGGTCACCAAACACAACTTTGCTGGTAAAACGGGCTCAGCAGCGGTAGCTTTTCTTGCGCAGGATGAAGAGAGCACACCTTCCCTCTCCCATCCTCACCACCTTCTACCGAGGCACCATAGAGAGCCTGCTGACCAGCTGTATCTCCATCTGGTTTGGCAGCTCAAAAGCCTGGCAGAAAATCGCTGCAGAGAGTGGTGAGGACTGCAAAGAGGATCATCGGAACTTCTCTTCCATCCATCCAGGACATTGCACTCAAACACTGTCTCAGCAGAGCCCGTGACATCATCAGGGACTCCGCCCACCCCCACCACGGTCTGTTCCCCCTGCTGCCCTCTGGGAAGAGGCTTTGCAGCATCAGGACCAGGACAGTCAGATTCTCTAACAGTTTCATTCCTCAAGCCATTAGACTGCTGAACTCTTAACTCCTGACAGCCCCTCCCCANCGATACGGTGATGCACACTATATTATGCACTAAATATTCATAATATGCATTTTAACAAGTTAAAATTTCTTATAGCAATCCACATTACAACTAGTTACAACTGAATTTCTGATACCAAGAATTTGCGTTCTAACTAGTCGGAAGTGAATTTGCGATATCCTCTAGAAATGAATGCGGTCTACAGTTAAAAAGGCTCGGCCTAAACCCCGGCCTCTGTCTTTAGCCTCCCATGATGAGTTCTGATCACCCCATATGACTCTGTACTGGATAAACAACTGGAAGATGGTTATATGGATAGATAATCCTTCCACAAAATACATTACTCATTCATGCGCTAAATAAATAAGCTAGATAAATGACTAGAAACAAAGATTTTATATATTTCTTCTTTATTTTCCAATGCACCGTTGATCTACATAATCTGGTCTGTTTTGGGTGACAACTTTATTAATTATGAAATCTGCATTAAACAAAAAATTGGCCACATGAGGAAAAACACTGCAAACGAGTAGTATACCGAATGCTTGAGTAGGAACCACATTTTTTTTTTATTAATAAGGTTAAAGACGCTGAGACAGAAACGACCACATTGACGTTTAATGAACACTGAGTTTTGGGCGCTCGCTGTTGTGCAAGAAAGAGGGAAATTAATACCGGCAAACAGAAAGTGCATCGGAGGCTTGGTTGACGCTTAAAGCCCTTGAAGACACAACAAAACTTGGCATAGTCATGGCTGCCCCCATGTTGTGCCTCAGAGCCACAAATATATTTTTTTATCACAAAACATTTTTTTTTGTTTTAATTTTGAACAGGGTGAACATACAGTACACATCCCTTTGCACAGAAGAATTTTTAAAGCAGGTCTGTTAAATTAAGTAAACTTTCCCATTTATCAAATATAGTGAAATTAAAAGAATGTTTGAAATATACAAATATATGAGTATATCGTTAAACTGACAGAAAAGACAAATCTGAAAGTGTGTTGATCACAACCTCAGCCACAACGATTCAAAATGATTTTTGGTCCACTTTAAAGAAAGCATTTGCTTTTATAGACACCAAACACACCAGAAAACGGAACGGAATAAATGCTTCACTTAATTTACAGGCAGTTATGATCGTTAACAATATGTACAGAGCAATTCGGCCAGCGACACTTCAGCAATCTGTCTGCCTGGACAAACAGGCTTTACCGTGAGAGACGCGTTACAGCTTTCTAGGGTGGCGTGGTAACGTTAGGAGATCCCGAGTCCCCGTCCGCGCCGCCTAGAGCACCTGACACTTCCAGGTTTGTCTCAGATTGTCCCACTATTTACAGTATTTAAAAAAAAAATGGCAGCAATTTCTCGATGAAACAAAAGCTTCACCAGAAACCAAAAAAAAAAAAAAAAAAAAGCAGTTTAATCTGAAAATATTATGCTGATACATATTACACAAATAGCAGCATTTTCTCGCGCTTCATAAAAACTAAAAAAGGCAGGAAAAATTGTAGTAAGACTTGCACTGAAAACACCATTAAGGGATTAAATATCAGCATGATTTTAAGTGTATGTGTACAAAGAAAAACATGAATGAAGCTACGTAGCCATGCATATATGCACACACACTAACACACACGCATATCGTTTATTACCGTATATATTTAATATATGCGCCTACCATGAGAAACAATCAAGTTGATATGTAGTTTTCAGTTAAAGATTCCTGAAATATTAACAGAAATCAGAAGTAGCGTAGTTATTATACACTTTACAGTTAAACAATTATAGGCCTACCGAGTACTGCGGCGTCAGCCTTTTCTCCGTCGCACTTTGTCCATAGTAATAAAAATAAAAATGTGAAAAAAAATAGAAAAGTGGGTCAACAATAATATACAAAACTAGGTGACCGTCTAAAGCCTCAGCACTCACATAGCCGACCAAACTCAAGCATCTTAACTGTATAGTAATATACTCTCAAAATTTTGTGAGGAAACTGGCGCTGCAGAAAAGAAGCGACTCCATCTTAAGCAAGGAGGGCTATAATTCCGTTAACAGCATCCTATAAATTTCAAGTTCTTAGACAAAATAATAATAATAATAATAATAATAATAATAAAAACTTACTGAAATGCCAGTTCAGAATATCCATGTAAAAATAAGACAAATCTGTATGTGCGTTTTTGGCGTATTGGTTTTGATATATACATACTCACCACACACCCAACAGGCTGTAAGAGCTCGTTAGTGTGGCTATAACACGCCGTAGCTGCTCTAGAAACTCAGGAAAATTAGTTTTTTTTAATTTTTAAGCACATATTTGCAGGAAAACGACTGAAACTCAGCAGTTCTCTGGAGAAGTGACGCTGTTTTTGTAGTTACTTCCAATACCTCGTGTACTGAGCCTGAATTTAATCTGGACAGATTTATAAATATTCTGTGCTATAACAGCCCTTAGGAGTTATTTCTATAAGAAGAAAAAAAAAATAGATTTAATCCACAACAATTGCATAATGGGGAAGTGGTTCATTTTCACTATCGTTAAAATTGAGCCCATCTGTGACCTGAGGCGCACGTAACAGGAAATATTGAGTAACATCGCCCAACATGGATGGATACGAGGGATTCCCTTGAAATTACCAACCCTTTTGAAATTTTATTTTTAAATAGGATCGCTACCCCTCCCGCTAAAACGGACTCATTTAGAAGAGACTCTAACCCTGCCTAGTCTGGTGGACATTTCAGCTGTGAATGTGAGTAACTAGCACAACCTGGATCTTCACAATGACCAAGCTGGCCCACTGCAGTTACCAGGGTAACACTGCAACCCCTCCCATCACCACCCACCCAGATGCCAAGAAAGAAAGAAAAAAAAAATACCCGACTTGGCAAAATGAAATATAACAAAAATAATTTTATGATGCTAAAAATACATCCCCCAGTGCCGTCTTTCACTTATTCTGAATGTGATCTCGTGTTGCTCCTCCAACGAAATGAGGAAAACCTGGGCTGAGGACTAAAACCCCGCTGTCCTGCAGGAGGAGGGGGGGGTGGGGAGGGGGTCGTTCCTGATGTAGCGATCACAGCTGATACCACTTCTTATCTTTGTACTTCAGCATCATCTGGAGGAAGGGGGGGGGGGGTTATTATGATGGATGAGTTGATTGATTGAATGCAGGGATTTCGTTTTGGGTTTAACTCCTTCCTCACCTCATGCGCGTGCTTGGAGAAGGAGTCTGCGCTCGCCATCATGGCCGCCGTGCGCTCCTCCAGCTCGCCCAGCTTCTGGCCCCTCTCGTCCAGCGCTATCCTGGCACGGGCCAGCTCCCCGACCACGCCCGAGGCCGCACCCTTCATGCCCTCGATGCCGCCCGGCCCGGGGATGTGCTGTGCCAAGCTCCGCGCCGCCTTTCCGGCTGCGGCCTCCCCGACTGTGTGGATACAGGTGAAGCCATGAGGTCGTGTTAAGGGGCAGGCGGTCCTGCTAGCATATTATTATCTCTAGCATACCTCTACAGCTATTGGCTGATTTTCCTTTCATTCATTGTCACATGAAAACTGCCAAGCCAATCAGATGTCTCTAAATTGGTCATAGTGTGTGAATGTGGGCGTGTGTGTGCCCAGCGATGGGCTGGCATCTCAGCCAGGCTGCTCTACTGCCTTCAGCTTTATGCTACCTGAGATAGACTACAGGCCCCACCACAGTAATGGATAAGCAGAGAGAAGATGGATGGATGGATGGATGATTGCTTAGTCAATCAGATTAAAGACAACTAAGAATCTACTCCAACAAAATAGGGATGTTAAAGCAGGATACATCCCTGCAAAGATGCCAGTCTCCCAAAGGGAAGAATGCTCTCCCACGCTTGATAATGTCTGCAGTGATTCTATGTAGGTATCTACACTAACCAAAATACCTGGTATTTACTTCTTACAATACACAGAGTGTGATCAAATTTAGAGAAGCTAAATATTTCAGGAAATTATTACCAGCAACTTTTTAGATGTCTACCTGAGTGCAGGAAGAGATAAAATGAAAAAAGAAAAGAAAAAAATGCAAAAGTTGTTACTTACAGAGATCTTCTCTGTCCAGGGACTGTGCTCCCCCACCAAAGAGGCCCTTGAAAAATCCTCTGTTTGGGGCCTCTGGCGTCTCTACAGGCGTAAACAAGTCCCCCAGCATCTCCTGAAACACAACCGATTCGCTAGATTTTACATGTGCTGCAGCACCAGAGAAAGTCATCCACTGAAAAAGCGTCTGTGGACAGTAGGAGCTGCTCTTCAGTCACACACCAGCTAACCCAAAGATGCTGACTTTAACCAACCTTAAAACATAAAAAAATGGAACATGTTTATGTAATAGGGCAGCGGTGGCCAATCTTATCTGCAAAGGGCCGGTGTGTATGTCGGTTTCTGGGGTAACCTTTAGGTCAGCTGTTCAAACCCGGGTGTGAGGACTCGTCAGCCAATCAGTCCTCTAATTAGTAATCTAATTAGACACCGGCCCTTTACAGATAAGATTGGCCACCCCTGCAGTAGGGCAGTAATCCACGTGTCCAGGCACCCATGTGACTTTTTTTAGGACAATCAAACCGATATATGGAACAATCCAGAGTTCCATATACAGTTTAGTCTCTTCAACACTGCGTTTTGCAGAAAAGGCATGAAGTCTGAAAAGCCACCTCACCTGTAGGTTCTCGCAAGTCTCCTGGCTGTATGTTATTCTCTGGATCTCCGTGGGCGAGGTCAGGAATAGAGCCTGGCCGTGGTTCGAGAAGCAGAAGGTCCTGGCTATCCGCATGTCGGTGAGCGGAAAGTAACTGACGTCTAACAGCGGCCGCAGGCTGGGCAAGCTGGGCAGCAAGACGGTCACATGTGATAACATACATGTCAAAGTCACATCTTTTGCATTTATTTATTTAGCAATTTATGAGTGGTGATAGCTTGGGGCCAGGGGCTCGTACAACGTGATTTGATTACTCTGCCGGCCATGGGATTCAAACTCACACCCTTAACCTGACCCATGCACTGCCCCTTCCTGCATTCAGAAAGGAGTTTCAATCTCAGAGAACAGGTGACTCATGTTCTTCTGAACTATGATGCTGTGTCTGTGATCAGAAGGTTGTTGGTTCAAATCCCGTGGTCTGCGGAGTGATTTATTTGTTGGGTCCTCGAGCAAGGCCCGCGAGAAATGAAACGGTAATGTAAATTAAATCTCATTTTCCTACCCACAAGGCTACCTGTTAGCCACAGCTGTCATCGGATGCAAACTTTTCGTTATAAAGCTACATGGAAACGTCCGCCCCCCCCCCTACCTCAAGGTCATGATGTGGCCATTGGCGCAGAAGCAGGCAATGCAGACGCCGCCGCTCATCTGCACGACGTCGCTGCGCAGCACGAAGGACGTCTCCGTGATGTTGTGCTTGAACGCCACGGCCTGCGAGGGAAGTGCGATCACCTTGGCCTGCTTGTCCGAGCAGATCACGGCAAACTGGATCTCACTGGCCTCCTGGGAGCCCGGCGGAGATGCCGTCCGCCGCTTCCTTGGTCGCTCCTTGTCGTTGGCGCAGTCGGGCTCGCGCCAAGGCTCCGAGGGCCCAGGTAGGAGGGCGCCGGTGGCATCCAGGAACGCCATCCTCAGGATGGCTCCCTTGAGTCTCAACAACGTGCCTGAGGAGCGAATCCAGATGTCAGCCGGATGCGTGAACAGAACAGACCCCACAGGGCTGGGAGTCCCGGATTCCAATGGCCTTCTCTAACAATCCATTGATGGAAAACAAGGAGCCTCAAATGATCAGATCCTCAAAACACCCACACAAGGGTATAGTCCTAATATTCTACTAATAATGAACTTACTATGCATTCATCAAGATGCAGAAAATGAAACTGCATTTATTAAATGTAAGGACCTAAAATTCAACTGCGATGTCACAAACAGATTTATTCATTTTCCATTTTTATAATCAAAATGAACTGAACATGCCACACACACACTCACTAATCGATACCCTAAGGCAGGGGTCTTTAAAGTTAAGATAAACATTAATTTTTCACAGTACTCATACAGTTGCTCCTTTAAATACAGTATAGTATTGCAGTTACTGTAATATGAAGTAGTAACATTATACAGCAGCCACTGCTGACACTCACCAGTGGGCGTGACTGTGACAGGCTGCAGTAGCCTCTGCTCACCAGCAGGCGGCACGTTGAGCACCATGAGCAGCACCGAGCCGAAGGACGTGCCGACCCACAGGCAGGGAGTGGCGCCGCCGTCGGACTTGCGCGCGAACGTCTCGCTGACATGGAAGAGGGTGATGGCCTCCCTGGACTCCCGGTCGATGCTCGTGACGCTGGAGCTTCGGCTGAAGGAGGTGTCCCTCGTGTCTGGAGGGGCAGCACCCCGAGCAGCGTGCAGAAAGGAAGGGATCGGGGTGACGAACACAGGGGAAGAAAAAGAAAAGTAGAAAAGACCTTAAGAGTTGAGGTTTTGATGGGCGCCGCATGAGTGACTCCATATGATTGCTCATAAAATTCCACATAGGACCTCGTCATCAAATAAAACCGATCACTAATTTGCGTTTCTCAATCAATTAAGATTAATTAAATTGCACGTGATATGGTCAACTAGCTAAGAGCATGTTCATTTCAACAAGCCACACTAGCTATTTCCAGAAACAGCAGCTGTTATCTGGGTTGGAGAAATGCAAGTCAGATATTTGAACACTTCCTTTCAAATCTGTTACAGGTTAGTACAGATGAGGTAGCTTATTTTCATCTTGTGCATGAAAGCCCACAAGGGAATTACATTTCACAGGCATTAGCTGCAATTTTCCTGCAATGGTTATCCATTAGATAGCATTATTGTTTTTTTTTTCCCAACTGTTATAAGAAAAGGTCATAAAGCTACATTACAGACCTACTCAAGGTCCAAAAGTAGCTTTATATAATAAGGTCTAAGTATACAAATACTTTTCGGCCTTATGTAGCTGGGGCAAGTTACTTCCTGAGGCAAACGAGAACAATGGCCATTTGAACCAGTTCTGTCTATCCGGTGGACATTGGGGAGAAGTTGTAGCAGACAAGAGCATTTCATGGATGATCCAGGGAATTAATTCATTAACAAAATGATCTTCTTTCTGCCTTTACCCTCAATGTGTAGCATGATGACATAGTCGATGCACATGAGTTACCTGAATTCACCCCCCCCACCCAAAAAAAAAGCCCACGGTTAGTCCCCATCCCCCTAAGGGACAAAAACAAAGTTTTTCAGAGGTGTCAGAGTCAATCATGTCACGGTGGCAGACGGAAGGTCCGGGGACGATATGCTGTTCCGTTTCGCTCGCAGGTTTTTTCTGGGGCTTCCTGCGATCGCTTGTCTGATGCGGCGACGGCATTACACCTGCAATCGATTTCAAGCCTAAAATATCCCAGCCGGCAGCAACGGACACGTTTAGAGTCGAGGCTTACCCACGTCTGGCTTCAGATCAGTAGGCAAGTTTAATTTCCGTGACATCTTTGCTGGAAAAATAAATAACATACAAACAATGACTCCGGGCAAGGAGATGCACTTCCAATATCCTCGGTATGGTTCTATATATAATTACGCCCACAGCGTTAATGATCCGTCTCGATTATTCATGATCCTCCGTTGGCATTATGCACTGAGAGAACCCAGAAAGAGTTAAAAACCAGTGTTTTAGTCTGTAAAAGAAAATCGCTTGACAAGAAAGCAGCCAGGGGGAGAGAATTAATAACCAGTGAAGGGAAACTTCAGGCATCCCAGGCTGACAGAACAAGCACCTTGGCAAGGGGGTATGAAGAAAAAAACATGCATGATATCACAGCTCCAAAGGCTTCAGAGAAAAGCTGCCATTCTCAGAGGAAGACCAATCATGGCTTCTGCTCCGTTCAGGAGGCCTTGTCAAACCTTCTCCAATTGCATCATTACATTGGTACTAATGTTTCGGATTTGCCTTCAGAGCTCACATTCATCCTCATATCACCTCCCTTTGGTACAATTTGCCTATATGCTTCTTATAGCATTATAAACTGTCTAAAAATTAAAAAAAATCATACGATAATCCTGTGCAATCTACATAGATGAGTCCCATTAACGGGGACTGAGGGAATGTGTAAATCTCACCTCTTTGTTAAAGACATAAATTACAATGTAATTAGGTATAAAGTTGGTAATAGAATGTCAAATGCTTTTGTGTACAAATATCAGATTGGCTACCTCATTTGGTAAAGGTTGATGGGCAAGAAATCAAATCAACAGGACAGCAAGTGGACTGATAAAAATCTATACACATAAGTCGCTAAATTTTCTACTTATTGTTTAACGATTTTTCAATGGGGTTTGTGCGCGTACAGATGCTACTGCGGAAGATTATATATTTTTGAAATCATTCTAGAATTATATTGATTGTATCCAAGAACATTCCACAGAGTTCCGAGAGGAGTCCAAAAGAAGAGATGACATCATGCATAGTGTTAGAGTCATGGGGGGAAAAAAATGAAATGAATCCCCCCTCCAATGAGAAAAACCTGTGAATTCCACGATTGACTTTTCATTACACACCTTACAATTAGTAGGAATAAAACGGGAAGCCCATTCCTTCTACATTCCAGACAGAGTTCGAGAGGCATCAAGCAGTGAACACAGATCATCGTTTAATCAGGGCATAACTTGTTAGTGTGAATGGGGGTGGGGGTGGGGGGCACGCTGGAGTAGCAAGAAGGGAGAGTGCCATTGTCAGATGTCGAGGTCATACCAATGTCAATGGCTACCATCCTGGTAAACTTTCTGCTTTTGGCTTTCACTGAAAACATTCCAAAGACAACACAAATAATAAAAGACATGACAAGCTATTTTACTCCACATATAAATCTTTAAAAAAAAAAAAAAAAGCAAAGCCATGGAGACCAAATATGATGACATACCCATTTCTATAAAGTCAGGATGTTTGTGGCCATCGTCACAATTGCAAGGTAAGGCACAGCCTAGATGGTGACAGTGACACAGACGATCAGTGCCGGCCGGCTTGATGAATCTACACTCCCAGGCAAATCGATCATCTTCATGCAATTTATCTGTGTCAGCTGACCTGACAGTCGAGTTCCTGGGTATTTGCTGTTTGTCTTAAGTTGTCAGCCTGTTCATTCTGTGCACTCAAACTACAGGATAATTGTAAAAATCTCAGCTACTGTAATTAAAACACGAGGAATCGTAATCAGAATACTTCTATTGCTTCAAACAAGGGGACACTCATAATACTTCACAACAATAGTAATAATACTGTATTTCAAATGTTGTTTTTAAAAATAATTCATTTCTGAAGGTCATTGAAACATCAACCAGGAAGAGACTGGAGCAGATATTAGTGCTGCTCATACTGGATATCCTCATTTCTCCTGGGAGCTGCATTAAGGATATATGAGGGGGATGTGACCACCCAGGATCCCTGCATCTCAGGGGGATTTCAGTGGCTGATAACTAGCGTTACTCTACCAAAACACACAAACAAGAATTCCACACAGCTTCTGAGCTGCTCCTCAATATAAAATATTTCATGTTTAATTATTACTAGGGTTGCAAAGGGGCGGAACATTTCCGGAAACTTTGCAGAAACTTTCCAGAAACCTTCCATGCCATGGGAAGTTGAGCTGGGTAATTCTGGAAATATTCCAAGTTGGAAACTTTCCAGGGGAATTAAGAAGAACATAAGGGAAGTAAAAGGAAAATTAACAGAATTTTGCAACCCTGATTATTACATTGTGAACTACTCAAACTTACACACTTCTATTGAGAAATCCCCTTAACTAAACTAATACAGCTAGATCCTCCATCAATAAGTACATGTACTGATAGTGTACTGATAGAGAGATATTACATGTCTCTGTGTCAATGTGAGACTCCGGACACAAATCTTGGAAATCAACGATTGCAACAAAATGGCACATTTACCAAAATGCAGTTAGAGCATTCTGTGACCAGGCACTAGCTCCTAACTGGAAAGAGAAGTATCTGTTTCTTTAAATTATTGCACAGACAACAGGAAGTTCAGAAAGGCTATAGTTTTACCTGAGGTGGGAGACTTGCACCGGTCTTCGGAAGAAGTCGACCCCTCACTGATGTCACAGAGACCTTTCAAGTCGAACAAAGAAAGTTAATGCAGCCCTTCGCATGTGAGAGAAACTGATGAGAAACCTTCTACTGTACCTCAGGAGACACGAAACAGAGAAGGCTGGGCTAAGGGGCTAAAATAAAGGTAGCCTGTATCAGATAAATGGCAGTTCCAGCTTTAATGAAGCCGGTAACATTATCCTTGGGCTATCTACCCTCCTGTCACCTTGTGCAGCTATTCAGCAAATAAAGGATTTAAAGTTCAGTCAATGAGAAAATTTGAGAACACATCCATACACGGTTTAATACTGACAGACTGCTACAGCACTATTATGCAGAGGTGAATAGTTCAGATTCAAGAAAGTGAAACTCCAGACCACAATTTTGTTCCAACCAACCATGTGAGTTCTCTGTGAGTGTGACTCGTCATACTTAACTGGCTGGTTGAAAGAAAATCTTGGTCTGGATTCTTACTTTCTGGACCTGAACTATAGAACTCTGCCATTATGATTATCACAGCTTTAAAGCACAAAAATGGAACTCCGCACTACCTCAGTAGGTGGCACTGCAGCATAAGCTCACATCTACTTTCATGCAGAATCAGTAATTGAGGGATGTGCATCACAGTCACATCCATTTTGAAATGGGAATAATATAATGTGTTCAATTTTCAATAAGAATATTATTACTACTAATAATCAGATCCCATAATAAGAAAGGAAAAGCTATCATTATCTACAATGACTATGCAGATACAATAAAATTATAAACGAAAATAATGTTTGATAAGAGTGATTGATCTCAGTCTAGCATACTATTTTCAAACCAATTTCTACCGCCAAAGACATACATTTTGTCAATTTACGGATAATGTCTAAACTTGCAGAAAAAGAAACGTGGAAGACAGAAGACAGGCAGAGTGAAAAGGGGAACAACACATATACTAGTTGAGAGGAAAGCAGCGGAAATAAAACATGCAGCTTGCAGAGGGCTAGTAGAATAGGATGTGAGGTACAGCTATTAAAAAAAAGAAAAAAAAAAAAGCAGGAAAACTGGGCCGGGACCACATTGGACAACGGGGGACAGGGACTCTCTAATAGGCTAATTCTTATCAGGTGACTTACTGATGTAAGAGGCCCGTAGATTTTTCACAGACTCATTATATAAGCTAGCGAGGCCGCGCATGCAAGACGTGGGAACGTCTTTTCCGAAGCACAGTGGAGAGACCAACAACAAAAGGCGTTACAGCATCAGAGCGGGGACACGCATCTGTCACAGAGCAGTGAGACAAAGAGGCGAGGTTACATTTAAAACACGTGCGGGGTCCCACGGAAGATGCGGGTCAGACAGTGCTGGTCAACCCATAAGCAAACCGTGGGGGCTGGGGGGGGGGGTTTGCTGCATCACCACCACCCTCCAGTGCGAGGAACATGGGGAGCACCGACTACAGCATCCGAGACACAGTGAAACAAGGTGCTGTAGCTCACCCAGGGACCACATGGGCTTCGACCAGCACTGGGGTCGGGAGATGAGTGGGGTTCGCATCCCGCAGAGCACCTACACATCCGGCCCAGGGATCTGAGCGCCAGTCCTACCGGGCATCGTGACGGGGCCGACCGCCGTCACCGAACGTGGGATCCCGTCCCCTTGGACGTTTTGCTTTGCAAAACTTGGATTTTCTTATCACCGGGGACAGATGGAGAACCCGCGGGGGGCCAGTCGAGGACCGGGGGCCTCCTGGTCTAACCCAACGACGAGGGACGATGCGACTATGGGAATTCGGGTGTGTAGTTTGAACAGCTCACAGCCGGAAGGCTTCAATAAGAATCAGTATCTAACCACACAAAGTCAGGGCTTCCTGTCGCTACACATGTATACTTTTAAAACTTATAAACATAGTATAAACTTACCGAGAGATGTCTGTTTTGTTTTCCGAGGAGAGCGTAGTTGTCTCTGGTCGCTTGAACCATATAGCTGCAACATCCCCATGTTAAGCAGAACGGTCTTCTGGAAGTAGTCAACAACTGCAAGTCCACTGCTATTTCCAAAAACCACTCTATTTTTTTTTTTTTAGGGGGAAGGCAAAGAGAATGACATTTATTTGCATACTTTCAAAACAAAACCAAAATATCTACCTGTCCATCACAGTACAATACCCTGTTGCATTCGCAGGAATGTCAGTAGGGGGTCAAAAGAGAAGTATTGGATAGCCATTGGGGCAAACCACAGCGGCACAAAAATGGGGGGTGGTGTGTTCAAAGGAAGCACGACAAGACGGGGGTTGCTGGGATTCTGCTTTATATTATTCAGGATGAGAAACAGGTGAATGATGGGGCTCCTAACTTCACCCCACCCCAGTGCTCTTACACATCTGCACCAAGCTACCCCCCCCCCCAGTTCTCAGAGGTTTCCTCGCCCAGACTCACAGGCCATATGAGGAGTTGATGGCCAGGCTGGTGATCTGTTGAGGTGGCTCCCCGCTGACCCACAGCAGCTGCACCACCAGCTCCACTTGGTATCCCGGTGACTGCTTGGGCAGAGAGCTTCGCACCCTGGACCGTGGGGGGGGGGAGAGAAACGACACCGAAATGCAGAGGGAGGCTATTAATGAAGACCTCAGCATTTAATATGCAGCATATTCAGACAAGCCAGAATGAAGACTAATAAAATCTTTTCCTCTATTAAAAAAATCTAATGTGTATTTAATAGTAGAGAACCGAAGGAATTAGTTAATGACCAGGTGATTGTGCTCCCTGAGGGGACAATTACAATTACAATTACAACAGGAGCTCCTGAAAGCCTTAAGATAAAGTCAAACAGACTCAAAGATCAGACTCAGAGGACCCCATCTATAACAGCGTTCCCCAATCCGGTCCTTGGGGACCAACAGCCAGTCCACGTTTTTGCTCCCTCCAAGCTCCCTAGTCTGGGAGGGGGGTAATGAAGTGGATCCATGACCAGAATATCGCTGCTTCAATTACTGGGGAGGGGGTCTGGCAGTTCAGCCTTAAAATAATTTTGGTTTATAGCGTTTACCTTAGACAGGGCACGTTGTCCCGGACTGCGTCAGAGGGGCTGCTGCTGGCCGAGGCCTGGGAATCGGGCGTGTTAGCTGGGGAACTGGAGGTCACATTTGGAGTGGGGAGGGCTGCTACTGGCTCCCCCCCTGCTTCCGGAGACTCTGTTTCATTCGGCTCGTATAGCAGCTTTACCTCCAGGAGCTGGAGGGAGAGAGGGTGTGTCACCCATGAAACAGCATGCAGAAACAGAAGCCATTCTCACCACTGCCCACTGGAAACCAACAGCAATTTTATCAGTGAACATAGTGCCAACCCTTAAAGTGCAACTCTAAATATATCATGACTTGTGGTGAGTATCAGGTATCTAACATCAGCTTGGTGTCGACAGCTCCTTAGTTCTCATGCCTAAGACAAAGCCTCCACTGCAGTTATGTGTTATGTGATTCCGACCAACAATAATGACAAACGAGTGACGGCGATGCTATATGTGATCCCTAATTTTTCCATGACATCCCCATCAATCCATTGTAACACTCTACACTCTATGTCTAGCATCAGCAGTACAACCTGCAGTACGCAGTCAGGAAGAAATTAGAATTTAGGATTCAGAAATTAAAATGTAGAACTCGGATCACAGAATTTAGGATTCAGATATTTCAGATTCACAACATAGAATTTAAATTTCGGATCTAGAATTTAGGATTCAGAACTTAGAATAATGGGTTCAAATTTTAGAATTTCGAATTCAAAAGTTGCATGATGCCCTAAGGGTACTCAATTTTAACATTACACTTACCAAGTCATTTACCTGGCTCTTCAGTCATTGTGAAATCATATATTTTTCGAAACGGCAACATATTTTGATGTAAAACATTTGAAGATAATAACTCATACAATGTAAAAAAACTATGAATGTTACCCCTCATGTCAAAATATGCAGCAACAGATGCACCGAGCCTACCTGCAGCACCTCTGATGTCACTTCCTGTTGGCTGAACCTGTAAATCAGGATGTGGGCGGAGACTCCAGCCACGCAGAGCATCCGGCTCTCGAGGCACCAGGAAATGGTCTGGATGGCAAAGGGGTCTTCGTCCACAATGTCTTTGCCCGGCTTATCCTCCTTGTTGCGATACTTCTCAAACACCTTGGCCGTCTTCAGCTTGTAGAGCACTTGAAGCATTACTGGGGAAGCGTGCAGAAATAAGCCCTGGTATTTATTTCCAGTTTTGCGCTCCAGAAACAAACAAACAAACCCAAAAGCTGACTGAAAATAATTGTAGCCGATCATTCAAACTTAGATTCAAGGAGATTTAAGTATTCTACCCTTGATCCTCTACTGCAATGTCAGCCTTTGAAATGATAAGTGGTGACAAGTTATTGCTGAAATGTATCCTCTGCCACTGGGGAGAGCCCGGCCTTTGCCGCGTAAAATGGCTCAGTGATGTTCAGCCTCAGGAACAGGGTAAGTGACACACGTCCAGCTCAAAGCACCGGCGGAAAAGCCTGCATCTCGCTGGGGAACTGAACTGATGCAGATGTAAGCACTGGTAAGACATGGACTGGTAAGCCATGCACTGGTAAGCCATGCACTGGTAAGCCATGCACCCCTCAAGCAGGTGTTTACATATGAGGTCCAATTTTCTGACCAGAATATAATCTTTTGCCGTAACACTTTACTTGAGGGGGTATAAATACTTGGTAGTAACTCAGTTACTACTGAAGTACAAATCATGAACATACAGTCGCCGAGATAAAATTAGCATCATGATTCATTAATGGTGAACAAATATTAGATCAGTATTTCACTTGTGTTATTCATGACTTGTTCCTTCAGTGGTTCACAAAGGTTTACAGAATTAAATGATACAGTAACAAATATAGCAATTGCTTGAGATAAGATACATCATGATTCATCAATGATGAATTAACAAGACATCAGTATGTAACTAAGGCTTAGTTTGTGGTTAATTAATGCATAAGTATGAGCATAATGCTACTTTACTTGCGGCCCCTCAATGAAGTGTTACCTAATGCTTTTGAAAGCTGTGGGCAGCTGAGCAGATTCGTGAGCGAAAGGTGAAAAAGACAAAACATAAAACAGGAAATGAACGGGCATGCAGAATGCAGAAAACTGCAATACTCACTCATGGAAGCGTCCCAAAACTTAACCGATCCATCTGCATGCCTGTCGTTCACAGAAAGAAAGATTTAAAGAAGAGAATTAAGGCCATTATTTTACACCTTACATATAAGTGCTCTATAACAGAAATTGGAGGAGGCTGGGAATTTACAGCTTATCAGATTAAACTGTAAATAAGCTTGGTAACTGTGTAATATATTACAGTTACATTCACTTGTACATTAACTTTTATTAAGCAGCTGCTTTTGTCCAAAGCAACAAATGAGGCAAATGTTAATATTAGACATATTAAGATCTGCATACATTAAGAAAACTCCCTTACCTTGCACATATTTATTAGTTATCATTCCTTCTTATATTGCACTGTTTTGTGTTTCACTGTCTGAGCTTGTATTTCACTACTGTCTGTCCTGCACTGTCTTGTCTTGTATTACAATAGCTTGTCCTATCCCTCGATGCCCTAACCTGCAACTGCAGAATAAGAATTTAACTACGTTGCCCATAACACGTGACAATAAAAAAATCAAACCTGAAACTGGAAACATACCCTGTAATTATCATCTCCTGGTAGCTTTGTGTGCCTTGGCCACAATGCCCACCGCTTAAAGGCCACTCCTGTACCAGAAAATGAAATTAAAAACAAACACCAAACAACTTTAATTGTATCTGGATCAAGTCATTGAATATTAAGAATTCAGAAGTTAAAGAAAACGACATCTTTAAAAGCTGTAAAAAAGGGGAGATGGTATTGACCGGGTGGAGATCAGCAAGCCAAAAGGAACATGGTACCTTCTTGCTGTAGGCTTGCCGTTTCTGCCTTGAGCCGACGGTGTAGAGAGCGGGGATGAGGTCCGCAGGGCAGTCAGCAAAGTATTCGCAGCACGTCACCGGAGACTCGTGTATAGTCAGAGGGTATGGGTTCTCAAATATTGGGTATCTGAACACAGAGAGGGGGAGGGGTTTGGCAGTTCCTGTACGTCACGCTAAAAATCCTGATATAAAATCACTACCGAGGGTACCAATGGCCGAAAACACTAAAATGTTTCCGTTTTCCCGTTTCACCGCTGGATTGTGACGCGCTTATTTTCCAGGCATTCGGGGTCATGCCTACCCATTCTGCGCCAGGTCGATGACGACCAAATCCTTCTCCAGAAGGGCCACCACGGCATAAGGCTCCTGGGCTTCTGAGGAGATGACAAGCAAGGCAGGCTGTCACTGGAGGAGAATGTTCACCCGGCCATCCGGCGCAGAAACGGTCTCATTGACAACTCACCGCTGGGGTACGGCGTCTCGCAGAGTGTCAGGAAGTCCACCACGGGGTGGTCCATCTCCAGCACGGCCGTGCTCTTCCCATGCATCACGGTCAGGCAGGGTCGTCTGCCCACCGTGTCGTAAGACAGACCCCCCGACAGGATCATGAATGGATCTCTGGGGAAGAGAAACCGAATGGACCAATCAGGGTACACGGTTCAAACGCTATCAGCCAATGCAGAACAAGGGAAGCTATAAAAAAATAAAAATGGAGGGTATTAGGATTGGAGGTTGGATTAGAGTTAGAGTTAGAATTGGCTTTAGGTTATGAGTTTGGGTTAGGATTGGAGTTTGAGTTTGAGTTAGAGTGAGGGTGATATCAGGGTTAGGCTTGCCAACAGGGCTGAAGCTAAGCTGAGGATTTGGGTCGCCATCACGATATGAGCTAGGCTTAGGGTGAAGGCTGGCATTATGGTTGGAGATTATTACATTTATTTACTGAATTCTTTTGCTTAAAATGATGTACAAGTAAGAATGCCTGGACCAGGTGGAGTAGCTGGGATTAGGGGCCTCGCTAAACAGACCAAAGGCGGTATGACACTGTCAGTCATGGGACCATTTGGATATTACTGATATAAAGAAAACTAATGTAGAAACCTATCAATTGTATGGATGGAAAACTGTTCAGAAGGCCCTGACATACAGGAGCAGTCAAAAGTCTGGACACACCTGCTTTTAATGCATTTGTCTCTATTTTAGCTATGTCAGGGGTCTCAAACTGCAGTCCTGGGGGGTTGGAGCCCTGTGTAGCTTAGTTCTTTCCCTGATCCACCACAAATGATTCAGCTGAAGAGCTGTGTGGTAATTAGCACAGGGAGGTGCAAGGAGTTGAATCAGGTGTGTTAAATGAGGGGAAATGCAAAAACGTGTAGGGCTCCGGCCCCCCAGGACTGAAGTCTGATACCCCTGAACTATGTGATTCACTATACAGTAAATGGCTAAAGTAAAGTAATACATATGAAATATTGCAATGACCAAGAGAAGTGTTCAACATCTCAATAAATTCTCAAATTTTAGACTTTTAAAATAGGCTCCTTCTGCTTTGATGACAAGATTGCAGACTCTTGGCATTCTTTCAACCAGCTTCCAGATGTAGGCACCTGGAACAGTCCTGAAGGAGTTTCCACAAGTTGGCTACTTTGCTCTTACTCTTTGATCCAACGCATTCCAAACCAGCTGTATATGGTTTAGGTTGGGGGATTGTGGGGGGCAGATCATATGTCATAGCTCTCCATCTCTCTGCTTCACAAGATAATACTTACTACATAGCGTTGAGATGTACTTAGGGTATCTTGTAGAAAAACAAATGATTTTCAGTAGGTGTGTTCAGATATTTGATTGGTACTGTAGTCAAAATGCTATTTTCAGAATATTCAGCCACAGTGTAGATGTTACAATGCATACAGATATTTGCTGAACTGCCAGCAAGCCGATCAGACAGGGCTTTGTACACAAAAGGAACAATGCAAATCACTGTCTCTCCATGGGAGAGTGAAGCCCTGCCCCTTACCCAGCTTTGGTTGTTTTGTATTCCACCTTCAGGATGGGCTTGCAGGGTTCTGGCTTTTTTCCATCCTTGGCCTGTTTTCCTGAAGTCAAAAACATCAGAGTAATTCCAACCCAAACTTTCCACTCAAAACCCCAGCTATCCATACAACAGAAATACAACAATCTTCTCCGCGTCACTGGCTACTTAGGGGAATACTGTTGCTCTGTCACATCTCAAGCGGCAATACGGTTGCTCTGTCACAAATGGCGCCCTCTAGTGGGCAGGACGTACCGTGCGGGGTGATGATCTGCACAGGCTTGGCCGGCGACCTCACGTTCCACACAGTCAGCGTGCCGTCCGAGTGGCTGCAGATAAACTGCTTCCCTTCGTGGTGCCAGGCCACCGAGTGGATCGCCTGCGGGGATGAGAGGAAGGAGGATGCCGACAGCAGTCAAGCGAGACGCCGTTAGCGTAGAGCGAGCATGACAGCCACGGCACCGTCATATGGTCGCTCCGCCGTGCTAGCCGGATGATCCTGCGGAGAACGTCAGGCTTGCCAACTATCCACACTGATACAAACACACAATATATACACATATTTGTTGCTTCTACGGAACCACTCAAAACGTCAGTCCCCCCCAGACGTTAAAAAAAAATATATATCAATAAATAGCTAATGAGTAAGTCAGAAAATGTAGGTAGCTAGCTGGTTAGCAGAACATGCTCCTAAATAAGGAATGCGTTTATTTAATATTAAGTGTAGTGACTGGTTGAATCCAACAGGGGGCCCCCCAAAACCTTCAAAGGGCATATGGAAATGTGTGGTTCGAGTAGTGGAAAACACCACCACTCAGTGTATATCTGCACAGTTCCACTCCTTTTGGGTGACGACACCCAGAGTTCTTTGTGTTGATAAGACAGTAGCTCAGTGGTTAGCAATGTAGCTACACACGTCCAGGGTCAGGAGTTCGAGATCTACCTCTAGCTGCGTATGGAGATCACATGTCCTCCTGTCTTCCACAGGCTAAAAACTTAAGTGAACTGCTAACTCAAAATAATAGTGTGTATTACTCTGCATATGTGTGCCTTGCGATACACTGGCATCCAATCCCGGCTTTTCCCTGCCTCATTCCCTCTGCTTCCTGGGATTGGCTCCAGGATCCACGTACCTCGGCACTGGATAAGCAGTTATTGATGATGGACGGATGTTTCTGACATTAAATGGATGGTTCCAATTAATGATATTTTGACCAACATCTACAAAAATACTCGCATAAGAACACCCACACTACGCAACGCTAACTTTAATTAATTTTGACCGGAACCTGATTACAATTCATTACTAGTTTATCCAGACTGTGCTGTAGAGGAACAGAAGCAGCATATGAAATAGATGGGGAGAAGATGTCTGTCAAACCCTAGTCCCAGAGAGAGGCCCACAAAGACACCGGCTCCGCTTACCTCGTCGTAATTGTATCGGTAGTCAGCTTTCTTGCACTTCAAATCCCAGAGGACCACTATTCCACACTCAAACCCAATGGTAAGCTGAGAGAGCCGGAAAGGGAGGGGGGGGGAGGATTAGCCAATCACAGGCAGCCAAAAAGTCATCTGAGAAAACAAAAACACACACAGGGAACAACCGGGGGATGCTGGATGCAGCCGCTGTGCGGTGAGAATTACTTGGGTGGGACACATTATAAACTGTGGAGGCCAGTCCTAAAAATAACCAGGAAAAAGTTGCACTTGTATGGTTCTGAGGTTTTTCTGATAGGTGCAAAGAATGTGCTGCAAAGCATGGAGAGACAGTGTCAGCGTGAGGAGGTGCAGCTGTGCTTTACCGCGGTAAACAGCACAGTGCGGCGCAAAAGTATTATAAGCTTGTTATGACTCCCATAATTAACAAAAAAATAAATAAAAATCAGCCCCCATATTCTTCCTTATCATTCTTTGTTTATGTTACTCCTCCTCTCAAACGTGTAACATGTCACAACGCACCACGGCAACAGCAGGGAAGTTAATTTTAGACTATGTTTATAATTTATTTCCCCCGAAGACTTAAAGTATTTTGGGATGGGGGGAAAGAAACAAAAGGTCTAAAGGTTTTACTGTTTGAAAACATAGTTTAAATAAAACACTGATCACAAAAGTACTAGAAAAGCTTAATGCTAAATTACTCAAGAATCCCAATAGCAGTTAAAGCTGAAGCCAGAGTGGGAAGAAGAGTTTATCATTTAGGATTTCTTGCTGGTTTTATATGCTTACAGTACAGCTGTCAAGTACGAAACAAGCATGGTTTCCCACAAGAAAATCCCAAACAAAGACTTGGATGAGGTGGAGGGGGGGGGGGGGGGGGGGGGGGGGGGGCGTGTCAGACCTTTCCTTCATCCATGGGGTTTTCACTTATGTGGACAACAGGTCCTGGGTGGGTCTTGGTCGACCTAAAGAACGAGAGGAAGAGACGGGATCAGATGGCTGAGGGGCGAGGAGACGAGGAAGAGGAACAATCTAGATTTCGATCTCGCCCCGGGATGCCAGCCTATGAATTGACGCCTCATGGCACTCCCTCTTCGCCATCCTCCCGTGGGCCATGTCAGCGCGCCTGCTGACAGATTTGTCATTCTCTGTGTGATGTGTTTGGAAAAGCCCCCCCCAGCCAGTTTAACGGTGCAACTGTCTAAGGTGAAATACTTCAGCACCCTTCCAGCACAAATGCATCAAAAGTCTGTGGCAAAGAAACATTACATCATACGAAATAAAACGATGCTTTATTTACCGTTTGCATAAATACGAGTACACGGACACCGAATGCTTCTTTTCACATACAGTATCCCATTAAGCAATCATCTGAGACACACACACACATGTAGGGTAAACATATCCTTATGGGGACCGCTCATTCATTTCAATGGGGAAAAATGCTAACGCTAACTATGACAACCTTAACCCCTACCCTGCCCTAACCATAACCATAAGTAACCTAACAAAATACAAGAGTTTTTGCATTTTTAGTTTTTTCATAGCAGTCACCAGGAAACCGAAAATAGAAACTGGTCCCCATAAGGGAAAAAAACCAGATATTTATCACGTTATGGGGACATTATGTCCCCATAAGGATAGGTAAACCCGCTCGCACACACACACACACACACACACACACACACAGACATTTGGGGTCCGAGCGCAGGGTCAGGCCATTCACCTGGCAACCCTGGAGCATTTTGTTAAGGGCCTCGCTCAAGGGCCCAAGGGAGATGTGAATATTCTGCTATGGATGGGATTCGAACTGGAACTGGAACATAAGTGAATCTTAGAAGTATAACAGAAATGAGACTCCACTCAAACAGCACTAGAAGCTCATTCTGAGAGAAAATGCTACAGTTTTGTTTTGCTACCAGGCTTGCTGGACGAGACCCTACATAACACCCATGCAAACAGGTCATCTAAAAGTTTTAAACGTAAAATTTTCTCGGCCGCAGGGGGTGGGGGGTAAATTTCCATTTCGTGTTCGCTCAGCCACGGTCGCGAGCTCCCAAACAGGCCTTGAACCCAAGTGCCCAGTCATGGACCACGGGTGAGGCTGCAGCCAGGTTTCCATGGTGACAGTGCAGCGTAGGATGCAGTCCCATCACTGGGGGGCAGTGCTCTTCAACTCAGCATCTGGGACTGAAGCGCCATCCTCGTTTATGAAAGGTGTCTGAAATCCCTGAAAGAGCAGGAACCTGCAGCCTAGTTCCCATACAAATCTTTTTTTTTTTTCCCATTATTCGTTATAAATCCCTGCACTTCCATTTGCTACTCAAAAGCAGGGAAAGACAGACCATAGTGTGCTAGAATAACCATGAATAAAAAGATGGGAACGTCTTAGTTTTAAAGAAGAGAATGACCTGGCACCATCAGACACGACACTTCCGTAGATTTATCACAAAATCAAAACAATGTTGATGCTGGGCCCTTATCCCCCCCCAGAATTCAGTGGGGGCGGCAGAAAAATGGCTGACCCTGCGCTCAGCCCCCTAGCTTTGGTCTCAACCGTTTATATACACTATTGTGGACAAAAGTATTGGGACACCCACAGTAATTACAGGAGTGGGCCGCATAAGCCACACCCACTGCTGACATGCATGTGTATAATTAAGCACACAGTCAGGCAACCTCCAGCACCAATGCCAGCAGAATGGGGGGGGGTCATACAGGAGAGGTATGTCAGCCCAGCATTGTCAATGGACACCATTGGACATCTTTCCAACAAGTTGGTTCTCCATATGTCTGTCCTGCTAGAGCTGCCCTGGTCAACGGCAAGTGAAGTGGAAACATCTGGGAGCAAGGTGGGGGCCACACAGGCTCACAGAAAGGGACGTGATCGCCCAGCATCAACACCCAACCAGAATGGTAGCAAATCCCACCAGCAATGTTCCAGCATCTAATGGAAGGCCTTCCCAGAAGAGCACAGGCCATTACAGCAACTACAGGTTAGTCAACTTCATATTAATACCCCTTGATTCAGAGTGAGATGTTGGACAGGCTGGTGTCCCCATACTTTTGTCTATATACTGCATATATATGTCAAAGAAGAGCATGATGGGATATATAAAAAAAAAAATTAATAAAAAAAATTAAAAAACATTCAAATATATCTGTACTTTTACTTGTGCAGATGGCAAATCACTTCATTTCACTTTTTGTTTTTCATCATTTTAAACTTCCACAATGGAAGCGGAAAAACCACAGCTCTCGTCTCAGTCTGTATCCCCACGACCAACTTCGCAATGAGCTGTGGGTCGCGTCCCCCTGATGGGCCACTAGAGGAGCGAATTGTCCTGGGGCGGCAGGAATGTTCCAGAAACCGTGAGCTCACCACAATGGGAGCTGTAAGCGGACACTAACAGAGGAGTTACTGAGAAGCCTGACAGAACAAAAAACTCCATCCAGTAAACTAATGAAACGTCTCCTTTCTTATTGCATAGGTGGGTGTTTATGAACCCAAAGAGTAGCTTTCTTGTCCGATGGAGGAATGTTCTGAGGGTAGGAATGCTAGCGGGTTCCTGTCCCACTCTGGGTCTGTGGCTCACACTCGCCTTTTGGGCAGAGAGGAGTGCATTGGGCGGAAGCCAGGAGATGAATCAGTAGACTGACGTAGAGCTGGCATGACTTATAAAAAGAGGAAAAACCTGTTCTGGTTGTAGGTGCGTGAGAAATCCATGTGTGCCGTCACAAAGTGGACAATAAAAGTCTGTGGTTTAACGACTTTACAGACTTTAATGTCTTTAACCAGAGTCATCGGGAGATTCTACTGATCACTGTGTGTAAGAGTGTGAGATGCGGGGAGCGGATTAATGCAAGTTATCCTAGGATACGGTCTTGGGTCCTAGCAAACTCAGAGACTCAACCTGCAAGACTCACCAACAGAACCCCTTCCCCCCAAATCGCCAAAGTTTATCACCCAGAGAAGTTAATCTACCCCTGGTGAGAT